TCATCATACCTCACTGCAACCTCAAACTCCTGGGCTCAAGGGAGCCTGCTGCCCAAGCCTTCCAAATAGCTGGGACTACAGGCACGCACCACCACGCCCAGCTAATTTTTCTACTTTGTGGAGATGGGGTCTTGCTCTTGCTTAGGCTGGTCTCGCATTCCTGGGCTCAAGCAATCCTCCCGCGTCGGCCTTCCAGAGTGCTAGGATTACAGGTGCAAGCCACTGCATCCAGCTAGAATTCTGTACATACTGATATCATAATAACAATTTTGTGTGCTATTGCAACTGTATGCTTAAAAGGAGGGACTATCTTTGAGAAGTTTGACCCTTACTATGCAAAAGATGCTACCTTCCTTATTAAACACTGGCAGCACCTAATATTCCATCTTGGACCATCTATATTCTTACTCCCTCAATGAGATCACTTCTCTTACAGCTCAAGCACTATCTGTCTTATGTGTAACTCACAAATCAACATTTCTAGCTCCAGTCTCCAATTTGTAAATTAGACATTACTACTTAATTTCCTATACCAGATATATTGAATAGAATTATCAGGAGAGGTTTTAAAATTTCCTATACCACACTGATAAAATCAAAATACATCTGGGTAGGACTCAGGCTTCAACTTTTTTTTTTAACTCCCCAGATAATTCCAATGTGCAGCCAAGGCTGCGAACCACTACCTAAGAGTAAATTTGACTCCTTAATTCACATTTATGCACATTCATTTATTTCATTATCGAATCTTTTTAACCTGACAATTGTAGACAGCCAATGTACATTACTAAAATTCACAAAAGTGTGCTTCACTACTTTTATAAAAATATTATTGAAAGAAAAATATTACAACCTTTAAATATTTAAAAAATATTTAAACTTACTGTATCTTCTAGTTTCTCCTGACAAAAGTTCTCTTTATCCATACAAAAGTCTTCTTTCACAAAAACTTCCAAATCTTCTTGGAAAGAGAAACATTCCCTTAAAAAGACATTTATTAGTGTTTACTAAAAGCAAGTTACATACTAAATGTAGCTAATCAAAACATAACGGTTAAAATTAAAGTCAGATAAAGAAATGATAAAATGTTATTATTGATAACATCTAAACTTGTGATCATACAAAGACTATTTTCTCCTCTTAAAAATATTTACATCATTGAGCAGTTAAGTACCTGGAAAAATTAGCTTCTTTGAAGATTTGTCCTTTGAAATCTAAAAGGGGATCCTTTACCAAAAATAATTTTAGTCTACTCAGGAGAGTATGCGAAGTTGGCAGCTGATTTTTATAAGTCATCAAACTATTTATGAAAATTATTTCTTCATCATCAATAGATAAATCTAAAAAAAAATAAGAAATGTAAAAGAACAAGAAAAAAATCTAAAAGTTACACAAAGGGATCTAGAGAGCTACTGTAATGAGCCATTAGTTGAGTTTTTCAAACACATTTTAAATTCTTCAGTTCTACATTGTACTGTGCATTTAAAGCAAGTACCATAGTACTGGAATATAGGTAAAAATTCAAGACATTTTAATGTTATTTAGTATACTGAAGAGTAGCCAAATATCCCAAGAGTTGTAATGGCTTATACTTGATTAATAAAGATTAATCAAGGGAGGAAAATATCTTGTGATTCGAAATAGCCAGGAGTAGCACAGGCAAAATTTTAAGAAATAAAAGCATTTGACTTTTGCTGACCCTTAAGGGTCTCCAGTCTATCCCCCAGAGTCTCTGACATTCAGGGAATGCAGATGGCCTATGGAACCTACAAATAAGACTAATTCTGATTCTATCATTTGAAAGTTATTCATACATGGTTGCTACAAAATTAATTACAGTGAAAGTTACATAGCAAAGTATCTACTTGAGAAGTGTGATATACAATGTTTTACATATTAAGAAACACTACTGCTAACAGTTAACTGCTCAAATAAATTTCTCCTCTACATCCGCACTCTGCCATATTTGGCTTAATTTAGAATCTTGGCTAACTGTGTGAGAACTTTAACAGTTTCTGAGCACAGGAGGGAACATAAAACCTACCCCCATTCTTCAATAAGTTCCTGAGTGGAGAGAGAAAAAGGGAAATGTAAGTTCAGATGAGGAACTACTCAGAAAGCCAAACTCTCAAATGTGAAAGCCACCTTGAGTGGGTAGCAAAGGTCTTTTATTCTGGGCAGTGGCTTTTCAGTTAAGTCATGTATCAACAGAATGGCATGAGAGAAGAATAGTACGGAGTTTTCAGGTAGAGGTGTCTCCCATGGTCAACTACATAATTGGTATACATGTTCATAATAACTGTGTCACGTAAGGCTGGCAGCCAGGGAACATCCTTCGATATGCCAAAAGTTGTGAACTTGTGCTATGAACTAGCTTCCTGAGAATTGTTTATCTGAACCTCGTAAGTTCTTGATGGTCTCATGGCCAAAAGCTACCCATGACACACCAAAGAAAGCTAGTCAATCAATTCCATGTCTAAGGGGGCTTATCTGAGAAAATTAAAGATGGTTTATTTATAATCTATTCTGTAAGTATTAATGAATTATTAATATTCATTAACATATTAATATATTACTAATATATTAATAGCAAAGTCATATATTAACGGTACAAACCCAAAGAGTTTATATCCCCTATCCACCCTCTACTTCCAAACACAGACCCTCCAGTCATCTTCCCTATCTAGTGCCTCATTCTCATAGTTCTGGGAGCCTATGGGGGACATCCCCCATCACTTATGAGGTCTTATTTTCCAACCACTCTTTTTTAATTGAACCACTTGAGGGCAGCATCACACCACAAATGTTCTTTATCATTATACCATGGTTGTCTTACCAAGGGTGCTACTTCCTTATATTCTTACAGTTATACAGCATTCCCTGGAGTTCTTTCTTTATTACAACTACTAGGTGTTCTACACAGATACACGGAGACTATTCCTCTGTTGTAGAGGAGTGTTAAATTGTCACCAGGAAACAAATTTTTGGCTAGTTAACTATGAAAAGAAGCTGAAAAAAAAGAGGTCTATTGATAGGAAAGAAGACAGGTTTATTCTTTGCAGAGGATACTTTTGTCTACCTAGAAAACTCAAGGTAACTAAATGAAAACAAATAAAGGAGTTTACTCAGTTGTATGATAAAATGATAAAGTTAATGGGTTTCTAACATATATAAACCTAGTCATAAAAATTAATTTTAAAAAACCCATTCATAATGCTTACCAATATATGAAGTCTTCAAAAAGTTCATGGAAAATGCATATTATGAAAAAAACCATGCATGGATTTCAAAAATTTTTTGCACCAAAGAAACTCGTGCTAACTTGTAATATGTCTGAAAATGATCTAGTCTGAGATACTAAGAAGGATAAGACATCAGTTTGAAAACAGCCCTTACCAGAGCAACATAAATTCTGCTAAAATCGGAGCAGAAACAAGTATCAAATTTATGATGAAGCTTGGGTAGAAGAATAATTAAATCATTGTTGCTTTATGAAAAGTTTATGGGGCCAATGCCCCAAAGAAATCAGCAGTTTACAAATGAATAACTCATTTTAAGAAGGGACAAGATGATGTTAAAGATGAAGCTGCAGCAGCAGATAATCCACATCAATTTGCAAGGAAAAAATTTGTCTTACTCATGCCCTAATTGGAGAGGACCTATGATTAGCATCAGAAACAATAATGAACACCATAGACATCTCATTTGGTTCAGCTTACACAATTCTGATTGAAAAATTAAAGTTGACCAGTTTTCCCAGCACCATTTATTGAAAAGAGATTCTTTTCCCCAGTGTATGTTTTTGTCAGCTTTGTCAAAGATTAGAT